ACCCTATCCATGCCCCTCGTGATCTTTATAAACCTCTATAACGTAACCCTCGGCCTCCGGGCAGGGGGGTGGTGAAGCTCCAGGCTATTCTGCCTCTCCCTGTAACTCAAAGCCTCCTATCCTGGCAACATCCTTATAAATCTTTTCTGTATCCTCTAAGTTTAACAATATCCTTCCTAGAGAAAGGCAGCCAGAATTATATGCAGTATTCTAAAAGCCGCAGCATGAAGTCCCAACTCCTGTACTTAGTGATCTGACTAAGGCAAGCGTGCTAAATGCTTTTTTTAACCATCCTGTCAATCTGTGATGCAACTTTCAAAGAACCATGTTCCTGAACCCCTAGGTTTCTCTGTTCGACACCAGGCAGTGAAATTTTACAGTTGACTGCCTCTGCTGTTTAGTTTCGAGTACTTCTGGACATTGGACGTCGGTCCACAAAAAATAAACAAACAGCAAAATTCACAGCTGACCTTAGAGAACCTTGGTATCGAGAGCTCCTCACAGCAGGGGCACAGCTAAATGGTTTATTAAGTCTAATCGTGCAAACAGAGTAAAGCTGTAATAGTGAGTAGGGTGAATTTTTAAAGATTTTCTCCCCAGGGTAGGGGATTCCAAAACGAGAGGGCAGAGGTTTAAAGTAACAGGGAAAAGATTTTAAAGGGACCTAAAGGCAACTTCTTCCTACAGAGTATGGTGTTCGTATGGAATGAACTGCCAGAGGAAGCGATGGGGGCTGTTACAATTACAACATTGGCATCTGGATGCTTACATGAATAGGAAGGGTTTAGAGGGATATGGGCCAAATTCTGGCAAATAGACTTAGATTAATTTAGGATATATGGTCAGCATGGACAACTTTGCATAATTGCACCTTAATCACTCAATGTCAGTAGTAATCCTTGTGTCCTTTCACAAGCAATTCTTGTATATAGCATACATAAATTGAAAGCAAGAGGCAAGCCACGTTTCCTCCTCTGACACTTCAAACCATCCTGCTTATCTCATTAAGTCTGTTTGCGTCAGAATATGACAGTACAGTGATTAAGGTGCAGTTATGCAAACTTGTCCATGCTGACCATATATCCTAAATTAATCTAAGCCTATTTGCCAGAATTTGGCCCATATCCCTCTAAACCCTTCCTATTCATGTAAGCATCCAGATATGTGCAGCATATAACTCTATATTCCAATAGCTTGCCTCAGTATGGATGTAAGATGCACAAAGAATTGAACAAGAACGTTGGGCTGCAGTCTCTGCTCCATTTTGACTGTTCAAACTCTTGCTATATCGAACTGTGCCAGCAATAAGTGGAAGTAGGCCATGAAAAGCTTTCCTTACTCAATTACATATTATCATTTGTTAATCAAGTAAGGTGCCCTTTTTAATCAACAGTTGTCTGAAACGAAGCGAAAATGATAGAGAGAAGTTAATTTGTAATGGAAGCATTATCCACAAATTAAATTTCCCCAGTAGGAAGGGAAACTGAAACTGACTAAGTATGTGCAGCATTTCTCTCTAATCTTTTTAGACCACAACACCATAAGATACCTCATATGACAAGCTTTTCATCATTGAGACCATTCTTGCAAACCACCTCTGGACTCTGTCCAACACCAGCTCATCCTTCCTTAGATACAGGGCCCAAAACCGCTCACTATATTCTAAACTTGGTCTGACCAGAGTCTTATACAGTCTTAGCAGTATATCTTTGCTCTTGTATCCTAGCCGTCTTGAAATGAATGCCAATGTTCATTTACCCTCCCAACTTTAAACTGAACCTGCATGTTAACCTTAACAGAATCCTGAACTAGGGTTCCCTGGTCCCTCTGTGCTTTGGATTTCTGCAGCCTTTCCCTATTCAGAAAAAAGTCTTCACCTCTTCTTCCTACCAAAGTGCATAACCTCACACTTTTCCAAATTGTCTTCCATCTACCCCTTTGCCCATTCTCTGAGCCTGTCCTAGCACTCTGCAACCCCCCCGCTTCCTCATCACTACCTGCCCCTCCACCTGTCTTTGCTGCCATGTTTATAGATGACACAATGGCCTCACTTTTTGTCCAGGTCATTAATATATAATGTGAATAGTTAGGGTCCCAACATGGACCCCTGCAGAATTCCACTACTCAGTAGTGCCATCCTGTAAAAGATCCCTTTGGCAGAAGGCAGAGTGGGGAGATAATCAGCCAATACCTTGGCCCTGACACCATGGGCTCCTGACTTGTTTACACTGTCTCCATTTCCACCTGGTTAGAAGATCAGTAAAGTTTTATAGCTTTCAGAGCTGTTAACATAAAAACACTGGAGTAAAAATAGCAAAAGTGTGAGATTAAATGCCAGAACTGGAGATATTTGTTGTGCTTTGCCAAATTGTTTATCATTTTAATGACAGCAAGAATACACTCTACAGATTGAAAGGCGAAATTGCAAATTATGATGCTGATGCTGTCTAAACTGAGATTCCTCCAAGCCAGGATGCCAAAGGAAGATGATAGGAATAAAAAAAAGCCATTCAACCTGTCAAGCCTGTCCCGCCATTTAATTAGTTTGTGCTTCATGTAAGACATAAATCCATCTGCAGACTTTGGTTCCGTAAACCTCATACCTCTTCGTTAAGAACAGTTCATTAATCTCAGTTTGAAAATTCACAATTGATTCTTTTTTAGGGCAGAGTGTCCCAGATTGCCACTTGCCCTTGTATGAAAAGGTTCTTCCTGATTTCAGCGTGCATTACCTAGCTGTACCTTTAACGTGCCCTCTTGTTGTGGACTTTGACCCGAGAAAATAATTTTCCCCTTATTTACCCTATCAAATCCTTAAATCATCTTGCAGACTTTGATTTTGTTGCACCTTAGTCTTGTGTAAATGATACTAAGCTACTTATGATATTAGTACATATGGTCCAATTAGTCCTCATTAAATGTGTTAAAGAAGGAAAGTGAGCGAGGGAAGGAGAGAACCTTAGAAGAATTCCAGAACACGTTTGCCCAACAGCTGAAGGTACAACCATCAGCATGAAGTGATTTTAATTGGGAATGTTCAAGACCTTAGAATTAGGGGGTTGCATAGATCTTGGATAATTATAGGACTAAAAGACATTAAAGATAAGGAGGGATGAGCCCATGGACGTATTTGAAAACCAGCATGAAAGTTTTAAAATTTGTGTTGCTCGGTGTGAGTCAGTGATGCTTAGAGAGCATGGTGCATGATAGGACAGCAAACTGTTGGATGGCCTCAAGTTCAGGAAGGATGGAGTGTGAGAGACAAGCCACGAGGGCATTAGCGAGAGAAGTCTCAAGGAAACAAAGGGATGGATAAGAACTTTAGTAACAGATTAACTGCTGCAGTGTTGATCATGGACCCATGATTGAAATCCAAGTGCAGGGTTAAAATATGACACACAAGTGCCAAATATTTGGTTCAACTTCAGACTGTTGTTAGAGGGATTGGATTTAAAGGGGAAGAGTGTGATATTGTGGTGGGGTCTGAAAGCAATGGCTTCAGTCTTCCCAATATTTAATTTAAGAGCATCTCTGCTAATCTAGTACAAGATGCGAGACAAGCAGTTTAGAAACAGTGGAGTGATTGAGATGATGGGGAGAAACTGGATGCCATCCGTATGCACGTGGAAAATTATGTTGTCTTTATTCAAAAACACACCAGCCCTGGGCTGACTGAAATAATCAGTTTTGGATTGATTGTCAATAATCATTACCTGCTATTCAGAATCAAATTGTCATTTGATGACAATTACTTTGCAGTTTGTTAATCCTCGTACTTCTGTATATTTACTGGCAAACATTTATCCCTTAATCGACATTACAAAAATGAATCGTCATGTCAATGTGGAATCTTGCTGTGCACCGTGTTTCCTACATTACGACTGTGACGCCCCTACAAAAGTACTTCATTGGCACTAGAGGTGTGGGGTGTATTTCATGACTTTGGGACATCCCAAAAGTGTTTTACAACCAATGCTGGGGCATATTGCAAGGCAGTAGAAGATGGAAACTTTACATATTCCTGATTTGGTCCCTATTGCAAACTGCAGAATAAGACAACATTGGCCTCATGCTTTACTTGGGATGGCATGTAGGAGTGAGCAAGTGTAATATCTCAGGCAACTTTAGACATGAGTGGTTGGTATCTGAGCTGGATGGAAAATTTGCATTAACTTTTTAAACTAAAATGTTTTAATTCCTCACCTGCCTTTAATAAGGTGCTAGCAAGGTTCCAATTAAGATAACACTTTAAAACATACACGCCCGTAGAGTAACAGTACTTTTATTTGTGGCATTTTGTGCAGTACTTTGAACAGGAGCAGTTTCTGCAGGCTGTTTTTTTTTTTAAAAATCCATTATTTCCAATTAGACTTGCTGAGGTATCCAACAATAGATCATCACTATGCTCTCTCTCATTTTCATTTTCTACCAAATGGCTCTAATAATGTTTTAGGACTTTTGACTAATTTCTCAACAAAAAGGACTTGGGGGATCAAAACAAAACTTGGAGTTTTCAAAGTAAAGTGTATTCACATACGTTTTCTTTAAAATATTAATTAATGTGAAAGGTACCGTGCCTGGCGTTGAAGCTAAACCTGCATTTTCATGAAAGTGTATTGTAACTCTGATTACAATGAATGTGGAGCAGATGACCAAGGTGTCAAAAGGTCTTTTTGTTGGGTGCTGCTCTGCTGCAGAACTGCAACAAGACGTTTTATTTCCTGGCACTATTTCTGACCTTTCTTCTCAAATAATGTCTTCAAAAGTTTGAAAAAAAAATATTTTTGGCTATTTTCTTTCTGAACCATGCTGCTGTGCTGTGGAATTTTCAATCCACTTATTTTTATTCCACTTTTGGCTAGAAATTAAGTGGAGCACAGGAATTCTAAGTTTTGAAACCGTGGAAGTGCTTGGATTCCCTACTGTCACACAACCTAAATGACTCTTCTCAGGACATGGGTGGTGCTTGGAAATTTGTTGTATTTGAGAAGCTAGTGGTGGACCTTCTTAAACAGCTGTAGTTCTATTGGTGAAGTTATCATATTATTGGGTGGCAAGTTCCAGGTTTTAGACCTAATGAAATTTCTGTAATTAAATCGGAGTTCGTTTGTGTAGAAGATAGCGTAAGCAATGCACTTACTCAACCCAGGATGTATGGGCCTAGTTGCCCTTCAGTTGAGGCAAAGTGTTTTTGTACAAACATTTAATAAGAGATGATAAACTTTCAGTTGGGGTTGAAACTGTGTTTTAAAACTCCTTTTTGGTGTGTGATGTAGGGGATCCTTTGTAGAACTGACTATTGGGACAAAATGAGGGTTTGAAAATGAAAACCTTCTGTGATATCCTCTGATATTCTTATCTTAATTTGAAAAACTCTTACCTAGCACCTTGGCCAAAACCTGGAGGAATGGTATTTGTCGAAAGAAAATGCAGGTCATTGATCAGCTTCGGCTCTTAACTGCTACCATTTAAACCCTCAAAAGTCAAGGTTGATAGGAATTGTATGAAATCTCACTCCCAAGTTTGTTATTTTAATATTATATCCATTCACTTCAAAACTCTCTCTAGCACAATCTATTTAACTTGTTTACTCTGTCTGTACTTATTTTGTTTTTGTTGTTGTTTGTGCCCACTTATTGTGTTGTATAGAGCAGATGCTAGCATGCGCGAGGTTTTCCAAGCCCGAGAGGGAGGTGTGTAGAGACAGCCCAGGCCCGCCGTGCCCTAGTGCACGGATCCAGTCAGGTGGGTTCCTCTGATCAACAAAACGATGGTTCTATTAGATGGCAAACCATTTGATTTAATAAAGAACATACATATATATTTTCCTTGAATGCAGTTGCCTTGTGAAAATAGATTATATACAGAGTGTTCCATATGATTAAAGGATGATACTCTTGTGTCACCTTGCCAATGTCATGTTCAAAAGGAGTGATGTCATATCCAAGTTGAATGGTGATAATCCAGCATAGTAATAATGTTCTCCCAGCCCAAGTTCCTTTGCTTGCTGCTCCATGCTGGGCGAATGGAATCAATGGATTAACCCTAAAAGTAACATCATATTGCAAGGATGAGCAATTGCCAGAAAACCAGATGGCTGCTATTGTAATTTGTGACTGTTGGTTGAAGGTCTTGTGGGGTTAGTTAGAAATGCCTATTTATGGAGCTTCTGTGCAGGCCATCAAGGTCATGAAGTGTTAATATTGCCTAAAATGAGGAAAAATTGTTTCCAGTGGCAGAAGGAACCAGACTTTAAGGTAAGAAGAATCATTTTATGCAACGAGTTATAATGTGGAATACACTGCCTGTGAAAGGGAAGCAGGTTAATAGTAAATTACAAAAAGGGATGGTAGCATCATAGTTATGTTATTGAACTAGTTGCCCAGAGGTGTGAACATATGATCTTGAGACATGAATTCAAATCCTATCATTGATTGTGATCTCTTAACAATATAATTTATCATTTTTAAAAAAATTAGTTCATTTAATGTCTTTTTAGGAAAGAAATTTAGCAGTCCTTTAATGGTTATGATCTTGTGGTTGGCTCTTATCTGACCTCTGAAATGGCCTGAAAAGCCACACAGTTTAAGGACAGTAAGGGATTTCCAATATATGGCACTGACACTTCTCAGCTATAAGCTTGAAGGTTAAGAAATCTGTAGGGCTATGGGTAACTGGCATGTTAATAATTTTAATAACAACATGCAATAATTTTAGGGCCTAAACTCTCCCATGACCCAGCTCCCTCCCCACACACCAGGCCTTGTTATCACATAGCCTGTCGTTACACACTACTTGTTGTTAGTCACTAATAGTTCCCATTAACAACTATTCACCTTCCCAGCCTGATCATTAGCAGCTCCTTTGTCTGTCCAACTGTCCTTCTCTCTCTTTAGGGTCTATCCTATCGTTTACTCCGTACCCCACTCACCTCCCTATTTCCTGCGTGTAAACTGATGTTTTCCCAGCCTCCATCAGTTCTGAGGAAGGGTCACTGGACCTGAAACATTAACTTTTCTTTTCTTCACAGATGCTGCCAGACCTGCTGAGCTTTGCCAGCAACTTTATTTTTGTTAATAGGACTAACTAGTTCTCTTTTCAAAAGAGATGATACAACCACAGAGGTCCAAATGGTCTCCTCCTGTATCATAAACTTATGATTCTATATTTCAGTGGTTGGGAGAATAGAATCTTTCTTTTGTAGGTTATAATTATCCAAGAAATATTAGTGCTTATTTGGCTATTTTGCCTTCTGTTTATAATATACTTTCATTATAGGCAAAGCATTTTCTGTTTGCCAAAAAGTATGTACATTTTATGCATGTATGCTGGGTTTAATGCAAATTGGCTATTACTGAGACAACCTCCACAGACTGATCAAAAATCTGTACAAGTAGTGAAAGTTTTAAAAAAAAACACACCTTGGTTAAATAGTGCAGTAGATCAACTTGTATTATTTACAAGTGACTCAATTTAGAGAAACCTATTACCTCTAACTGACATCATTTGTGATTTGTAGGATAATTGCATATAATGTGTTCCAAATGTTATTTATTATCCCATTGAATCAAAAGCATTGCTGTTAAATTTACAGGAAATTTCATTTAAGTGGGATTGAAGTCAAGACACTGTTAGCTAGCTGTCAGGAGAGGGAAGGGTTTAATGTGCTGACACAGCAGTTGTGTAAGAATGACTATATAGATAACCTCTGGAGGAGGCGAGAGCTATTTTAGATGTACACTGGGAAAAAAACACAATTCACTACCGTTATAAACAAAATTAAACTCCTGGACAGCAGAGTTTGAGTAATGTAGGTTTTAATGTTGAACTGAAAAGTCATGCAACAATTATTTTCTATGTAAAATTGATCCTGATGCTGACGTGCTCCCACCAGTTTGCCTACCTTATCCCCACTGTTGAAGTCCTGTACCCACTGTTCATGTGGTAGCCTCTTGCCATAAACTCCCAATTCCTTACCATTCCTATTCTGCTCCACATTATGTCCACTGCATCCATTACCACTTTTCCTAACTGAGTTATCGGTTCCCTCCCATCTCCCTGATCAAGTTTTAACAGTCTTGTTCTGATTTATCATTATCTTACCCCACTTTTTATATTCACAAGGTCTTCCATATCTGCACCTTAGCACCCTTTACTGTTTGCTCACTCTATTCTCTAGATATTTGCAAATTACTCTCTCCCTTTAAGCTAAGGGGCAGCAGGTTTAGAGAGGGTGTGAGGAAAAATTTTTCTGGTCAGAGGGTGGTGGGAATTTGGAACTCACACCTATAAAAGTAGTAGAGATGAGCACCTTCATAATGTTGAAGAAGTATTTAGATGTGTACTTGTGATGCCAAGGCATACAGAGCTATAGGCCAAGTGCTGAAAAGTGAGATTAGAATGGCTAAGTGACTTGTTTTCTGACTGACACCAGCTCGATGGGCCGAATGGCCTTTGTCTGTGCTGTAGACTTCTGTCCTACCAATTTAGGAGATCGACACATGAACCTCTTATCACTATCACTGCACATTATTTAAGATTATAATGCCTCTCCCTATTTCTTGTGTCAAAACAAACCACTTCAACTCTGTATATTAAATTCCATCTGCTAACTGTCTGCACATTCTATGATCTTTTGGTGTCCTACTTTAGTTAGTTTGAATCATCTTTTCTGTTTGTCAATCCTCCAAATTCAGCATCGTTGAAAGATTGAGATTTTGCTCTCTACCACAATATTCAAATCATTTTTATATACACAATAAAAAATGCAATTAGTACAAATACTGAACTGTGGATAACATTGCTGCCTGTCACATTCTTCAGTCTGACAAAACAACTATTTACAACTTTATTTTCTGTTCTTAAGCCATTTTTTTATCCAAGCAGAAACTGAGCCTTTTCCATGGACCTTTATTTTTATTATTCAACCTTTTCACATTGTACATTGTTTGCAAAGTATATAGACACATCCATTGTTTTAATCAATCTTTACTGTTATTCATTTTTTAAAAATTGGAATGGTCGAGCATAATCTAGCTCCTAGAACTCTGTGCTGGCTGGGCTGTGCTTCCCCTTGGGCTACCCCTGCCGCCGCCACCACCACCACCACCATTGGTTATTTCTAAAATCTCTTTGGTGTTAGATTGACCGGTCTGTGGTAACTAGGGATGTCCTTCTATCTCTTTCTTAAGAGAGTATCACATTTGCCACCGCCCAGTCATCTGGTGCCTCCCCCATATCTAGGGAATGGCAATTTCTCCCACTGTCTCCAATCCCACTTCCTGTAGCAACCTTGGATTTCAGCTGGCTTAAACAGGTTATCCATTCAAAGCATAATCGGCCTTTTTAGAGGTAATGACTAGGAAGATTATACCTGAAATATTGGCTTTCATATCACAGGAGCAGAATTCAGCCATTCAGTCCATCCAATCTGCTGTGTTATTTGTTCATGGCTGATATGTTTCTCCACCCCATTTTCCTGCATTCTTCCCCACCCCAACCCTTGATTCCCTTAATTATCAAGAACTTGTCTATTTCTGTCTTAAATATATCCAGTGGTTTGGCCTTCAGCCTTCTCTGGCACTGAGTTCCACAAATTCACCACCCTCTGAACAAATTCCTCCTCATCTCAGTTTTAAAGGATTGACCCTTCGTTCTGAGGCTGTGCTCTCGAGTCCTAATCTCTCATCCTAATGAAAGCAACATCTCCATGTCCGCTCTGTCCAAGTCTCAGTTGTGTAATTTTCGGTCTGATTTCGCCTCTCTTTACCACCTCCACCCCCCCCCCCACCCTCAAAAAAAAAAAAAAAAAAAAAAAATTTTAACTCCCAAGTACAGACCTGGAGTCCTCAGTGACCCCTCTTGTCACAAGCCCTTAATTCCCGGAATCATTCATGTGAACCTCCTTTGGACGCCCTTCTAACAACTTGCAGGTTGTATTTTTCAGGAAACAAAAGGGGGGAAAAGAATACTCTAAGTATTCTAGTCATGTCCTGCATCACTAGACATATATAACTTTTTCTGTCCTTTAAAGGATCCACTCAGCCTCTCACTGGAAAATTTTGGGGTTCTTTGTTATGTTGACTTGCCTTTCTATTCTCATTCTGTCTTTAACTGTTCTGCTTTCCTCTTCACCTCCTCTCAGCTTATTGCATTTGGCCTGGTGCTTGCTTCAAGAATTCCCTTGACATGTATATCATTATGTTCTCTAATGCCTTTTCATCCAGTTTTGGTTCAATATCATTGTCATTGTTGGAATGTACCGAGGCCACACCTGAAACATCTCCACCTTAAGATCATCCATTGTTTTCCCTGACAATAACTCAATTCCATCTCATCCCATTGATGGTAGCCTTCCAATTTAGAAACTCCACTTTTGATTTGTCTCTGCTCTTCTCCATTACTCATCCAAACTTTGATTGCTTTAACTCAAGTGTTACTTCACAGATAATTGATGCAGTTGGCCCACCTATTTCCCAACATTGTCTCCTTCCAGGTTGAACCAAGCATGCACTGCTCAAGGAAATTCTCATTCATATTTCAAAAATTTCACTCACTTCTTTACTCTATTTCCCAGTTGGTAATTGTCTCATTGAAGCACCCCAATATCACCAATCTAAACAAAACAGTTGTTTTTGCACCTGTAGTATACTTCTGTTTTGATGTGAAGGTTGTCATTTTTTGAGACCTGACCTGGTTTTTCTGTTCATGACTTTTCCTAATTTGGTTTAAACAAGAATGTTTTCTTTTATTTCCTCCACTGCTATATCAGTTTCCTGTAAGTACCCAGAGGACGCAAAAGGTTGCCATTAAATATGGGCATGAACCTAATATATGAGGATACAGATGATTGAATACAGATTAATTGTCTGCTCCTGTTGCTGTGATCTTAGGCAGCACAATAATCGAGCTGTTGATAGTTAAATGGTTGGTGCATGGTACTTTTCACCACTAACATCCAGATGGTAAATGTAGTGTAGGTTTGATTTAAAGGATTGCCCCAAGATCACTTTCTGGATGAGCCATCATCAGGCTTCTGGCTGATAGACACTGCCAGTGACTTTGTGGAATGTTCATCTACAGAGCATTGTAGCTTAAGTCTGCCAAAAGATTAGCAAAATTTGATTTTGCTGCTGAGGTTGGATTTGCTTCATTTTGCATTTGATTGCCGACATACCTAAGGTGTGTACAGAGCCACATTTCGGCTACGTTTTAATTATTTTTAAACTTTTGCCATACTTGTCTGGTTGGATTACTTTAAAAGGCATAAATGAAAACTTTAAATTTGTAGAAATATGCTGCAAAATTTAATTTTCTGAAAGACAAATGCTTCTACCAAGAGCATCCAACATCACCATCTGCTGCTACAAAACTGTATTGCAATGTTCAGATTTTTAAAAAATACATCCTATGAAAAATAAACGTTAGTATCACTTCCTTTTGCTGTAACACTTTCCAGTAGAGTGTGTAACAGTAGATGACAGTGTATTTAGAGTACCAGTGATCATATAGTCTTTGTTCTGATCCAGTTTTGTCTTTATTTGTCTCTAGAAAGTGGAGCTGTCCCAAAGAAAAAGGATCCTTTGACCCACACGAGTAATTCCCTACCCCGCTCCAAGTACACAGCAAAAATCACTTCCCCAGGGCAACGTGGTCACCAGAGGGCCCAGAGCCATAGTGGAATCTCCAACGGTGCTGGGACTTCACGAATGCCAGCGCAACCCAGTACCTCTACTGCTAAGGTAACAAAGTAGTGCACTTGAATTTTCTTTGTCCTGCCCATACACATCCATAATATGTGTCCTATTGATTACCCGATGGGCCTCATTTATGAAAGAGACATTGGGAGGTAGCAAAGTTTAGAACTGGGACCTTTTTACTATCTGGCTCCAGAACATCTTTAACCTTGTACCTCTGGGGGGTCTTTGCCGTGTGAGTGACAGACAGCATAATGATACATTCTATATGTAAGTTTCATAGTTTCTTTATGTAAAAAAGGCAAGGTAGATGGTAGAAATACATTTTAGGAAGTACCAGGTTACACCAAACATTGCTTGAAAAACTTCGTAAGCGGTCTTCAAATTTTTGACTTGAGGAAAGAAGTTGGGTTTTTTTAAATGTTCCTGCTGTCAATGCTTCTCTCCAGTTTGGCAATTCACTATCTTTTAAGTCAGTAACTTGCTTTGATATTTGACCTATTATATGTTAAAGGCATCAAAATGTTTGAATGAATGATGTAACCAGGTCATTTTAACTGTGAACTGTCTTGAATCACAGGAAGAACCATTTGGCTATCCTACTTGTGCTGGACCACTGAAACAGCTTTCTAATGATCTCACTCCTCTGTCAGCTTGTCAATATATTTTGTGCAAAACATTTTTGATATGGGTGTTCAAAATACTATAGGAAATAGACTTAAGTAGACTTGGTAAATCAGAGACAATGATATCCAGATATGTTCTAGAATGTAATGGAAGCAATAAAAGTTTGGTCTTATTGGAATGAGGAATGCTTCACTGAAAGTGGTAATTGATGCTAAGTTAATAGAACTAAGAAAGGACAAAAAGTTGCTGGAAAAGCTCAGCAGGTCTGGCAGCATCTGTGAAGGAGAAAACAGAGTTAACGTTTCGGGTC